TTTACTTGATTGGATGACTTAAGGACTGTATGCAGGGGCAGTGTGCCCATTCATACTTTTGTTGTAATGGCCCTGACTCCCAGTATAACTAGCCTGGGCACTGTACTGGTGATGAGCTCACGGGGGGATGTGATGGGACTGCCAAAGCTACAGTAAAATAACGCTCCCTCCCTGGCACACAAAGCAGACTGGTTACTGGACAGGGTGTCCTTGCCATTTCTAACAGCTTGGTTATGTCTGAGCATCCCTCCTCTTCTCCCTTTGACCATGCAGGCAGCTGCCTTTGGTTAAGCCCCCGTGTAAGAAATCAGCAACCAGGAGCAGACATTTCCAGAATTGATACAGGAACAGGTAACCCGGCCAGCAAAGCGTTCGCTGTCTGGCAATAGCTGTCAGGCACCAGTGCCCGATCTGCTTGCTGTTGATTCACTTGCTTGTTTCTCCAGATGAGGTACTTCAGCTCCTTTGCCCAGGGTCTGTGCCCGTACCACATTTGGACTGCGAGCCATTCGGTGTGCCTGGCCAAAGGACCTGTGGCCATCACCAGACGCTGCTGCAGCATTGCAGCCCCTGCACTGGCACCAAGCTAGCTTTTAGAACAATTAGTTTCATCTTATTTATTTTCCAAGGCTTGAAGGAGCTGTTGCTGGATGCTCTTTTAGGTATGCCCTCAGCCTTGGCAGCAGACAGATGTTTGTGGCGCTGGGGTGTTCTCTCCTGCCTCCATTAGCACCTCTGGCCAATCTCCTGTGTCCAACGCAGAGCTCAGAGACCAGCCGCTTGCCCGAGGCACCACGATGGCACTGCACACCAGGCTTGAACTGGCTCCGTCTTTGTCAAGCAGAGCTGCCCCCTTCGACAAGCCCAGCTCCTCCCGACAAGGGGGCTTCCCACCCGCCTGTGCCTGCCCAGCTCCCAGGGCTGGGAATGAGCACCGTGGCTCCTCCACCGTGTCCCAGAGCCTGGCCTCTGGTTGTCCACAGACCATCTCCTGCTCCCATGGGAGACCACGGCCACAGTACCACGTGGCCTCCAACGACCAAAGATTTGCTTTATCTTCAGTTCTGTCTGGCTTTTAATTTCTTTCTCACTCTTCTTACTAGAAGGGACACGCTGCATTTCCAGTCAGACAGTCCCTCTAGCCCTTTGCTACCTCATCACTGTGCTAATCACGCACCTTCCTGGTGAAGATAGGGAAAGCTGTTTCTGCATTACCTCTAACATTTTTTTTCTTTAAATATAAAGTCCCTACCCATATATATATATATTTTTTTTTTTAAGATCAGGAGTGTACCTGGAGGTAGCTGGAACCATGAAACTTCATTGTTAATCAGCCGATGACTTTGGCTGGGCTGACATTTTCCTGGCTATTTTTAGAGTATGACTCAGACACTGCGCTACGGAGCCTGCAAAATCCCTGTGGGCTGATACCGGAGCCTCATTCAAAGCTGTGCTGAAGCATCGCGTGAGAGGGAAAGGGAGTCAAAGCAGGCAAAAGCTTTTGTTCACCTGCTTTTGGGGCTCTCTTTAGAAAAGCAAGTAAGCATAGGAAACAAGGTGTCATGGCAACCTAGTGGGATATTAGGAACTGGAAGAGAGAGCCTCTCACTGGCTGTGAGAGCCTCTTACCCGGCTCTCACAGGAACATTTCCATTGTGCATTATTGGGCTGGTGGAAACAACACTGGAGCCTTGCTAGTGCCCACTCCTAGATGCACAGCTGAAAACCCAGAAGAGAAATTTTGAGCTTTTTTTTTTTCTCAGCCAGTCCTATGGGAACTGAAGCCCCTGCTTCCCTACATGTATGAAAGTCCATTGCTCGAGTCTTAGCCCTCACCTGGTCTCCCTATGAGTTGTTGTCATGAAGAGAAGACCCACAGACCCAATCAGTGACTCTGTCTGGTAGGGTCCGAGGACACTGGGTGGAGGGGAAGGCATCAGTTTTTCATTTTTTTTGTGAACTGCCTTGTTCCCATGCCTAACAAAGTTATGCATCGCTTCAGAGAGGGCTGGTGGGGATATCGTCGAGGCTAGATTGTGCACGTGTTTAAATCCCTGTCTCGGACACCTGCCTGTTGAAGCAGCACGTCACTGGCGAAGAAGCTATTCGTGCGAGCTGGGTTTCTCTTATGAAGGATGATGCAACCTGAGCCCCCATCGATCAGCTTTAACGCAAGTCAAAAGCAGTCAAAACTTTCCAAGAATCAAATGCCTGGTTCCTGCAGTCCCTGGGTCCTTTTTTTAGTTTTTTTTTCTTTTTGATAGCAGAAAGTATATTTGATCTCAAGTGCAATGGAAACTCTGGGTGCATACTGGAAAGAAACCACTTGAGCAGTTACCTATTGCTTAGCACGAGTGCCCTCAAATACGTATCTGACCTGAGTGCAAGCAGGCAGCAAGGTAGCTCCATACCCAGCATGGACTGGGCAGCCAGGAAGCTCCGCAGGGGCCGTGAGGCCAGGAGCCCACCCCCCAGCTCCTGAAGAGCCTGATCCTCTCTGTCCTCTGAGAAAGGAAGAAATAAAAGCTATTGCAGTGGCACCCACAATGCTAGGCTGTTACAACGCACACAGAAACGGTGCTTAGGAAAAGGTCGAGCTGCTTCCTTCCCATTGCCCGTCCCCTGGCTCTCACGCTCGCTCAGCCTGCTAACACCCACCGTCCGGGTTTGCTGGGCTAGCTGTGTATTTACCAGGGCTTGAAATTAAGAAAAATACTTTCAACTGCAGCTCTGTAACACACCATAATGAAAATTAATCATTTACTTGGTGCTACCGATTACCCCCTGACTGCAAACGGGTGTCACCTGTACAAGTCCAGTCAGCTGCTCAGCCATCGCAGCCATCCTGCTGCCTGCTCCCCAACTTGCTCTGCGATGCCAGTCTGCTGGTTTTTCCCTTAGCAGATGCAGCGTTTTCCTTCATTTCTTACCCTTTTTTTTGGGCTTCTTCCTATTTTATTGCATGCATGATCCGTACCGGTGCTGGGCTGGGAGGGAGCTGGCTGAGCCCGTGGCGGGGCGCAGCCTGCCTCCGAAGTCGGCAGTGCTACATCGATTTGCATCAGCCAAGGGCCTGGCACTCAGCCTTCCTGGAGAGACGTTACGAGCTGCTCTAGAGCAAGACATAAAACATTCATAGAGTGCGTAACTGGGCACTGCAGCACTATGCAAGGATGCCAGAAAGCCTTTCTCCTGGACCCCACCAGCCAACAAGCAAACAGGAGAAAGCTTTAAGTCTAAGGAGCTTGTCTTCTGGTTTGTTTCCATCCTATAATTATTTTAATTCTGGTTAGTACAATTACAGATGTTACTTGTGGCACCATCATCTTCAGCAGCAGCGAACTGCACAGATCAATAGGACATTGCATTACAGTATTTCCTTTCATCGCTTTTAGATTTCATCTCTTTCATGCCTTTATCTCAGGCAGGAGTAAATAACTACACGATTGTTTTCTGCAGCGGTATTTTACACCTCCCTTAAGCTTCCTGCACAAACCAAGCAACACACATTTCGATATCCATCTTTAATGGGGGTAGAAAGTGCTTTGTATCCTACAAAATTTATGACTCTCTGGGTTCTTCTTATGGCAAGGTATCAGTTTTCTGTGGGCTGACTAAAAGCGCCTAGAGCCCTGCAGACACTGGCTGAACGCAGGCTAACGTGAAGCCCGGTGTGATTTCCAGCCCTGGTGGGCAGCTGGCTCGGCAGGCAGCCGTGGCTCCCCTGCCCGTGGCAGCTCCTGAGGACGGGTTGTGAGAGGCACAGCCCTCCACTACGGCCAGCGGCTTCCCCGGCTAACGACGGTGCATCGCCAGTGAGGGTTTTGTATTGCATCCTGGTGGGGCAAACTTCCCCGCCGCCACGTTGCCCAGGAAGCCGGCTGATCAGGTTGCTCAGAGCCCTGTCCAACCTGGTCTTGAATGTTTCCAGGGATGGGGCCTCCACTACCTCTCTGGGCAACCCGTTCCAGTGTTTCACAACCCTCATTGTAAAGAATTTCTTCCTTATATCCAGCCTAAACCTACCCTGTTTTAGTTTAAAACCGTTACCCCTCGTCCTGTCACTGCTGTCTCTACTAAAAAGATTGTCCCTATCTTTCCTATAGGCTCCCTTTAAGTACTGAAATGTTTTCTGCAGGTGCAAACTGTAGACAGGTCATAGACTCCCCACAGCCAAAGAGCAACGATTTTCTGTGGACAAAAAATAACCCCAAACCAAAACCCACCACACTGCAAGCTCATTCATATACACAGAGAATGACCTTCTCCTCCACTTTTTTCCATGATGAGCAAAATCCAGGCCAAGGTTGCACGAGCAGAGCTGACAGAGAAAGCTGTCGCTGCAGACAATTGCTCCTCCTGTGTGACCAGAATATGAACAGCTGAAAACTTGCACTAAAAGGACAGGAGAAAGAGAAAAATGCACTGCAAAATATGCCAAAGTAACCATGCTGCCTTTTACCAGCAATTTTCTGCTAGCTCCTGGTCAGGATACCTTAGGGGGACACCGCAGAGAGGGCTCCTGCCCTCCCCCTTCACGGACCACCTCAAACGCTGTCGAGGGATTGCTCCCCGCACAGGAGAAAGGCCTTGGAAAGGCGTTGGGAGACCCGCATGGTGCCTGGCTGGCCCTGCTGCACTGATCTGGAGGATGCTGACGTTTATGGGCATGATCAGCAGGAGGGCTGGCTGCTGGGGGACAGTTTCCCTCGGGGTGGGGCATGGGGAGGAAGATGAGCCCTTCTACATGGCAGCCTCAGGCTTCAGTTGCCTCCGAGGGTGGGTGAGCGACCTATGGCAGCTCTTCAGGGGCATGCTCCCTGCTGAAGCTGTTGCATGCACATGGATACAGCTGGAGTGTACAGAAACAAGGAGGCTGTGTCATCTGGTACGCCCAGGACCTACGTGGAGGAGGTGGCTCTCCCCTTCCAGCTCCTGTGGGCGCACACGTATGTACAGATACCAAAGCACCATCAGCACTAGAGATCGTGGGACCTCACCTTTACGTGCCCCGTCCCAGAAGACCGGCATCTCCTGCACCTGTCAGCACTGCCACAAAGCCGGGGGGGGGCCCGGGAGCCGCAGCGGGCACGTCCCTGGTGATGTCGCTCATCTCTTTGGCAAGAGCTGTCTGTCACAGCCTCCTTGCTCCGCAGTGCATGGGAAGAGGGGCTTGCCCTGGGGCAGGGCTGGGGCCACCAGCTGAGCCTGTTGGCTGTCGTGGCCATTGCTCCCTGGCACCGAGTTCTCCCTCCACACCGACTCCAGCACCAGGGTCAGGCTGGAGCTGGGTCCCCCCAAGCCAGTCCCCGTGGTGCCACTCGTCTGCAGCACAGGGCAGAAGCCTGGCAGCATCCTCGGATGCAGCACTTGTGAGCATGCGCACCGTAAAGCTACAGCCATTCAGTTACATTTTCTAAGCTCCCTTCCTAATTTTCATAACTGTCCCATGAATGCATGCACCCAGAAATGCTTGAGTCCCTTGCATACACAAAGCCCAACGCTTGCATGAGATGGGCACGTGGCTCTGCTGCTGCTGCGGGCTTGACCCATCGTCGCCTGGGCTTTCTGCACCTGCCCCTGGTCCAACCCACTGCCCCTGCAGCCTCTTCGTCCTCCCCAGCCAGTTCAGGTGCAACAGCAGCACCTCTCTGCATCTGCACACCCTGCACCCTGCTCTCCACCTCGTTTCTTCTGCTTTGGACTACATTAGAAAAGGCAGTGCATAGCTCAGGTTTTCTGAATAGCCTGCTCCATTGCATTCTTAAGCTGCTTATAAGAGGCATTTCTTTAAGGCATAACTTGTTTACAGCTGTTTCCATGTGACAATTTGTTGCCACATGACAAGCTCAAAGTCAAGTCAACACAAAAAATTACAGCAGTAATGGAGAAAAGGCAGGGAAGGAGGGGAAATGCTCCTGAGCATCAAGATTTCTGCAGAAGTGAGCAACAAAGGAAGTGTAAGCAAAACCTGAGGAACGGGGGGGCCCGACTACAGCCTCACTGAATGGGCCTCAGGAATAACGCCATCAACGCCTGTGGGGTTGTAGCAGCAAACTGGGTCTGGCCAAGAGGCTCCAGGCTGAAAAGTTGTGCAAAGGATGGGAAATTTAGGAGACTCCATCTGTTGTCATGCCTTACACATGTGGGAAACAAAGGCACCCAGCAGGTCTGCAAGCATCTCGTAGGTCTGGCTCTGGCTGCCTGCTCCTCCACCAAACTCAAAATACCATGTCCCATCGGTCTTTCCCGCCGAGATGCTGCCCCAGCCCGAGCTACTGGTCTTCTCCTTCAGCCACCAGTGTCCCTCCAGCAAGAAAGTCCCAGGCAGCACCTCCCACACAGCCCTGCTGAGTTTGTGCTCTTGCAGCTCACACCAGTGGGCCAAGACCACTGATTCCCAGCTCCAGTGGTTTCCATGAGAAAAACCCCAAACAAACACCTCTTCCTTAATACACACACAGCATGCACAACATTGAATCCTCCCTCCAGCCAGCTGAACCCCTAAGTTCTTTATAAAAAATGAAGTATTTTAACATGCTTCCTTTCAAAAGGATTTTTTCTTTCTTTTTTTTTTTTTTTTTTTCAAAAACAAGGAGAGCCAGCAGTGTCACCTCATTCTGCAGGGGAGAGAACGGAAGCATGGATGATTTTTGAGCTCTAAACACTTTAATACAAGCTCTCAACCAGGTCCTTGGAATAACTGCACTTTCTGCACCCTCTGTTTGGTGTCAGAGGACCACAGTCCTTTGGAAGGGGGTAACAAAGTGAGAATGGAGCAACAAGGATGACCACATTTTCAGTAAAGCATTTAAAGCAAAAGAAAAGTATTTGACTCCCTGGCTATCAGCAAGCACTAATAAACCAAAAGGCAGGGGTAATCTCTGTTTCCATCCAAATTAGAGAATAAATGAGACAGAGAACGTTTCCTAACACCAGCAAGAGCAACAGTGTTTAGGAAGGTTTCTGGCATGACAGTCAAGGGCAAACCAAAGCAAGCTGACACCCTTCTGCTAGAAAGTTAAAATCATATTTGCGCTCCACGTGCAGTTCGTATTTAATGTGTCACTCGTGTGGAGACAGACTTCACGTCTCGGAGATGGTCGAGTGCATTTCTGAATTGCTCTATTTAGCACGTCAGACGTCTGAGGAGCGAGACGCAGCAGCACGGATTCGCTCCTTCGCTGGTGAGGTTTCATCTCAAGGGAGATGATCTCACCTCTGCGTAAGATTATCATCTTCAACACAGGAGAGCGAAAGCTACTTTGCCATTGATGGAGGCTGGCTGCCGACAAAACACGTGTGTGTCGCTCAGGCAAGAACCATCACTCACCCAGGCCGTTTGCTGTTTCTGTGCCCTTTACCCAAGGACGCACTCGGTCGGCTCACTCAAAAGTCCACCAGCAATTTGCCCAGATTAAGGCCATACTATGCAAGGAATGTCAGAGGTCCTACAGACCCCAAACTGAGCTGGGTTTGCTGTCCTCAGGGCCTTTTAACACCAATCTGCCTGCGAAAAGCAGTGCTGTGCCTGTCACCTCTGCCCACATCACCCACCTGCAGCGGGAGCATCACTCCCAAGGGCATTTGAGACTTCACTGCTCCTGAGTGGACATTTCTGCTGTGGACTGCATCAGCCCAACCACCTCCAGCGGCAGATGCTCCCTCTCGGTGAGCAGGAGGCCTTGGTGGAAATGGTGAGGCTTCGCCGAAGCGGGAGTGAGCCCCACCTGCCCCCCACACTGCCCGCTCGCCCTCTCCACAAGGGACCTGGGGGGGGCACAGCTCAGCTCGGCGGCTGGGCCGGGCCAGTCAGGCCGCTGAGCGGGACCCCGGCCCAGAGCTACACTCCCTCCTCAACCCAACACGGAGCTGGCCACCAGAGAGCCCTCCAACCCCAAGTTATTCTGAGGAAAACCACATTTTGCCTTTTAATCAGAGGTGCCTGACAAACCCAAGCAAAGTGAAGAGCCCCAGGCAGCAACGCACCAGGCGCACCCAAGGAGCGTTTTAGACCACGACCTGGGCAGACCACTGCAGCAAGGGACAACCAGCTCCAGGGAAAAAAAACCCCACATTTTCCTACCAGTCAAAGCACAGGCAAGTCCTTCCTTCGCACCCTGAAGAACAGTGTTGCTCCGAGCCCTTTTCTTCCACCAAAAAGAAGGCAAAGCAAAAGGAAAACAAACTTTTGCAGGCTCTGTGGGATTGCTTTCTGCCCTTAGCCCCCCCCAGACACTGCAATGGCCTTCCCAGCTTGCTGGGCATCCTTGCTCCCACACGCTGGGCTCAGCAGCAACGACCCAGGCTGGGCCCTGCTAACCAGTCACCACATCCAGGGATTTTACCAGCTGCTTGTAGTTAGGACTTCACTGAGCATAAGCAAATAGAAAAGACTTTTTTCCCCAGCACGAATGATCCTTTTCAGAGTAGCTTCACATCTGAAAGTCAGTCAGGGTCAATTTTCCCTAAGAAAAGCCCCTTCCCTACTGTCCTTTAAGACGCTTGTTTTAAAAGCACCACCCTCATCAAAACAGCACTGTAAGTAACACACCTTTGTGCCATTCTTTCCACCCCCCCGGTGTTCTCTGACTTTCACACCCGAGCCAGGCGGAAAGCAG